AGTTTTTTATTTTAGTTCATTTTGTTTCGGCTTATGTTACAGCATCAATTTTATGAGCAGTAAGTAGAAATTATTTATTTTATTTTTATTACAGTGTAATTAATTTTTTTTCATTTTATTTATTTAATTCTTATTTTAATTTTAATTTATTTCTATTTTATTGGAATTTTTTTTATTCTTTGCTATTTTACTGGAATTTTTTTTATTCTTTGCTATTTTATTGCAATTTTTTTGTTATATTTATTTAGTTTTAATTTTTTGCTATTTTACTGGAATTTTTTTGTTTCATTTTATTTTGCATTAAATAAAAATTTAAAATGAACGAGATTAAAACTATTAATATGCAGTTCCATGTAGTTGAGGGAGGTAGTAGGGGAGGGGGATCGAACGATATCTAACGTTTTGATGTACATTCAACAGTTTTCCGTGGGATTCCGAAAGTATCCAACATTTCCCAACTATCGGATCCGATAACTTCCGATCGGATTACCGTAACAAGGAATCCGACAACTTCTGATAGGATCCTGTCGGATTGTCTAGGGAATCCGATCGGATCTGACTGTCGGATTCTTCGTCCTGGGAATACATACGAGCGTTTAACAGCTAAATGATTCTGTTACAAAAAGTAAAACATCTTAACTTACTTTTTTAGATGGCCGATGTTATTAAAAGTGACATTGAAAAAATTGAACGAGCTTTGAATATTCGCGTTGATGATGTTGAAATAGAAGTTGCATTAAATGCTGGTAAGTGTTATGATCATTAATTCATCATAGATAAAACTTCATTGTACATTGATGAAAACTGAAGAATATATTTGTCTTGCGTTTTAATTAGAGTTAGTCACTTTTTTGTCGTGATTCGAAAAATACCATAGTGATCTGTAATATTAAATAAAAAGAAATGAACTAAAGTCAATGTCAACTCTATTCTATATGCTTGATTCAAACCAAAAATCAACGAAAAGTTGTTTGGATGAAATATTGAGTTAACATTCTTGTTTTTATTGGATTAAGATGGTCATTAGTTAGAAATAGAGATCTGCAAGATGACTCCGACTCCATAAGGTAGCAACTAGTCTATCGTATTCGAATTATTCAAATAGAACTCGAATTGTCAATAGAGAATCAATCTTATACAGATATTGATTGAATACAATATGTTCTACTGAAAGTTTGCTCTGTTTCGAACCAGAAAAGTTTTGACTAGGACTAATAAAAGGCGGTTTTTCAAATTCTTACTTGAGAATATAATAGATCAAGCTCGTAAGCTGCAGAAATTGTGATCATGAGGTGTTTACACAAGTTGATCAAGCTGCCTAAAAGCACAAGTTTCTATCAAAAGAGTTGATAAGAAACTGTCACATTCATATTTATTATCACCAATGAAGAATAACATGAATTTTTTTCATTAACCGATTTTCAGAAATGCAAACCTACAATTAATTCTAGCGAGTCCTTACATTTTAAATCTAACATCATAGATTTCTATTCAATATTAAAACTCAAGCATAATAAACAATTAAAGAAGAACTGATGTCTACCTTTTAAAATCTTATTGTTTCTCAAACAGAGTCTATCAAGTCTTATATATACAAGCCTTACAATATATATATCTTTAGTTTAAATTGATGAACTAAATCTTTTTTTTTCTATTCATTACAGCATTTCCACAAGCTATTTCGACAGATTTCAATGGAGAACAAATTAAAAACGAACAAATCGACGAAACTCTGAATTATTATGATTTTGTAGAAAATTTAAACAGTAATCCTCATCGTATTGATCATTCATCTCTTCTTACATTTGCTGCAGCACTTAATTTATGTTATCAACGCAATCTGTTTCAATTATCCAAACATTGTCAATCTATTGTAATTTTACTAAAAAAAAATAATTCTTTATATTAATTTGACTTTTAAAAGGATACTTCGAATAGATCTAATCAGTCAATAAATGAAATTCTTCCAACACAAATTTTTAAAATTGATACAAATTATATTTCACAGCATTTAACAGTAAATAGACGTAATAAGATTCTTTTTATGTATGAGGAAATTAACTTTTTGTTTAGACAAATAATGAATCAATACAAAATATTCGTCGAATGATGCAACGCGAAGAAAAAGCACGATTAAGTCAGTTAATCATTCTTAATTAAAATTATTCCGAAAAAATTTTTTATTAAATTTAGGTTCAAATGAAACAATTGAAAAATTAATTGAATGTGTTGCACGAAATATTCGTGAACATAAAGAACATGAATTAATTCGAAAGTAAAATTTCTTTTTATTAAGATTTTAATTGATTTATTTTAGAATTGAAATTCTACAAACATCAACACGTGATACAAATATAGTTGGTGAAGAACTTCAAATTTCTAAAAAAATGCTTAATGATTTACGGTATAAGCTTTCTTTTTATTTATAATTTAGTATTTTTATAAAATTTCTATAGAACTTTATCCAATCGAGAACTAATTCAAGAAGAAAATACAAATACATCTGTTGATTGGACAAATATTTCTGAAATATTGGTCAAAAAAAATATTTTTTATTTTAATTCAATGCAGTTGGTCTTTTTTCTATTCTATTAGATGAATAATCAATATACAGAAAAACGTTGCCAGTATGCTTGGCAGCAACTTTGTTTACCAGTGATTAGTTATAATCAAAATTGGTCTTCGGAAGAGGACCAATTACTTATAAATACAGCTCAAATATATGGTGCATATGCTGATCAATGGAAAATTATTGCTTCAAATTTTGTAAGGAACACAAAGAATATTATTAATTTCATGTCGTCAAATTTTTTCTAATAACCATAATTTTAAAAGTCTTGTCTTATTCTCTGTTCAATGATGTACATCTGGTTTCGGGTAGAAAGCTCTAAAAATACAATTGTAAGTAACATGTAGAATTAATTGAGGAGATTTTTACAGTACAAAACATAGCCGACTATAAATGAGCGGAGTCGGTTGATAAATACGACTATCTTAGTCGTGTCCGAACGTTACTTCCATTTTTCGGCGAAAAATCTGTGAAAATAGATGTTAATATTGCCGACATGAGTTTTGCTCAACGTACAATCTGATATTCGTGCAAGTCTTTCAAATGTGAGTAGTAAGAGATGAAAGCTTGCATTTTTGTTCTAAAGAATGTATATAAATAAAAAGAATAGTCTTACAAATGTTGGCTTTTATCTATTTTTTGTTTCCTGTAATGACTGAGTCGGATGCTTATAGATTATTTTATTTATTTAAAAACATGCTATTTTCATATTTCTAATACCTTTGAATAAAAGAACAAGATTAGATGCTTGAAAATTCATTTGCAAAGTATCTTGTTCCTATTTTTGAGAAAAATATCTATTCAAATCTCTCAATGAAATATTTCTTTCAGGCATCGTTTGTCTGTCTGCTTTCTATTCTCGAACTCTTTTTATGTACTCAATAGCTTTTATAATATTTAGAAGGTTTACTCGTTGCATAATATTCAAAAATAAAGTATTTAAGTTCTGATGTGAAAGAGTAACATCTAGATATAGAGATTGAGGAGAAATAAGAGGCAATGACCACATACTGATAACGCATAATTCTTCTATATCTTGAAGGTGTCGTCCATAGAAAATATCTAATCAAAAAGAAAAGTGATTGTCGGAAACACCATGTAACATAATTGTGAAATACGATAAAATTACTTTTCATTGTACAAGGAAATCTATTAAAAACATTTTCCTGTTATGTACGTCCACGGTGAAGAGGAGATCGTAGTCGAAAAATAAAATATTTTTTTTATACAACGAACATGTAAATGCTTGTCAACATAAATTTCTGTTTTTTTTTTGTTCATGACACAATATGTTTCTAAACTATTTCTAAACTTCTATATATAACTAATTCGACACAATGTTTATCCCATTTTCATGTTGGAAATAACCATCATTAGACAAAGTATTCTGAACATATGTAGAGAAGAAACGGTCTCTCTTTCTAAATTTCTTCTTTTGCTTCTGAATATCTATCTCTTCTGAATAAAAGCTATACAAGTATTTGCTTATTTTCTATTCAGATGATCTCATGTTGTTTATTGCCTCTTTTAGCCTCAACGTTCATCATATATGTGTGCAAATCGTTATATGTTTTTAGAGAATACTCGCTTGAATAAAGTGTGAGTTTATTTATTTCGCATAAGTTACTTTTATTCTATTATTTATGTTTCAAAGAAAATTTTCAAAAGATCAGATAGACGAATTACAACAAGTTATTAAAGAATATCGTCATGAAAATTATGTTCCATTAAATAAAAGTAATAAATAAAAAAATTATAAAAATCATTTCATTTCATTATTTTATTTTAATAAAGTTGCTTATAAATTGGGCTGCAGCCTCTCAACAGTACGTCGTGAATGGCGTAATATTGATCCAAATGTTCGACGAGGCCCATGGCAAGTAGACGAAGACGAAGTACAAATTAAATTGATGCAAAATATATTTTTTACCTTTTTCTGCTATTGGATTTAAATAATCGATCTATATTTGCTCTTTTTTTAACATAGACTCTTATTCGAAGTGTATTAAAACAATCAAATCGTGGTGCAATCAATTGGAATTTCGTTGCTTGTGATGTACCTGGTCGTTCACAAACAAAATGTTATCACCGATATATTCATTTAACAAGAAAAAATGTCAAAACTGAATTTGAACCTAAAGATGATCAATTATTAATTGAACAACATCAACTTAAAAGTGGTAATTAATTATAAAATAAAATTTTAGTACTTTCTAGATTTTGATTCCTATGAAATATATTCAACGTTGAATTTATCTTTCAAACTTTCTACATTAGTGAATCTTCTAGTGCTATGAAATATCTGTTAATATGAGACCATACACTGAGAAGCAAATGAACGAGAATAATTGATGTAGTATGAACAATGTACATAATCAGTCTTTGGCAATAATGATGTCAGTTGAGAAACTATTAAGACTTGTGTGAAAAGAATTTTGAATGAGTGCAGCCAACGATTCTCTGATTTCAAATAGTCTTCAGATTAAAAAGAGAAATAACTTTAGAATGAAAAGCAGATAGCACCGAGAACAAGAGTATCTTCTTGAAGAAATACTATCAAGATTTTATTATTCGTAAACTTCTTTTTTTTTATATCTGTTTCGGCAAAGTTCTAAAATGTGTTATTGAGAGCAGAAAGGAGTTCACAACAACTTTTTTTGTTCTATCCCGCCCGACAGTACATGAATCAGTCATCTTATAGTCGATTTATTTCATGATTTGTTCAAACATTACGACTCTAGTCTAATGTCAAAAAAAAAATGGGGGCCACATCTTTTTGATTTAATTTTAAGAATGTTTTGAACTCATATTGAACTAACGTAAATGTTGTTAATGATCAAGTATTCAATTGATTAATTATCACTTTTAGCAAAATAAATAAATGTTTGGAAGCATTTGAAGCAGCTAACATATCGAACGATTCCTATACTTCTCATTATTGTCATCTAACTTAGCTAGAAACATTAATATGTTTCATAAAAATGGTAATACTGTTGATAAGTCTTTCTTTATGACTATATATGTTTTGTTTTCTCGATAAACTAAAAGTTAGAGCTTTTCTCAGTTCCAAGTGCAACTCATAGTTAATATCAAGTATAATCAATGATGATACATATTAGACGAAAATTATAAAGAAAAATTTCTGTAAAAATACAAACAGTTTGTGTACCTTATCCTATCCGATCTATCTGCTATCACTGATCTTGCCGAGTGACATGATAAGACAAAAATCTAAGTCTTGCTCTGTCCTATAGGACACGAAACGATTGCATCGTTCAGTTATGTGTTCATCTAAAATTGAGACTATATTGAATATGTTCTAGCTCGTTGGTCTCAAATTCAGCCATTATTTCCTGGGCGATCATGTTATATGTTACAAAATCGATGGCGGAAACTAATGCAATATCGCCAAATGAATGAATTATTTAATTCTCAAGAAGTATTTTACTTTTTATTCATAATTCTTAATCTTTTATTTTGTTTTTAGTTACATGTTCAATTATTTATTCTGAAACAATTTCCAGCAAAAAATACAGACACTTCTTCATATAATAATCCATATCATCCACCAAATTTTCAATTAACTTATGATCAATTACAATGTTTAGTATCGAACTCTTTATTTAAACAATTTTGTAATGAAATTGATTTAAATCATGTTATTAATCACATTGGCATTAGACAATTTCTTAATAAATTATCAACATCTACTAATATTCAACAAATAAAACAATTATTTTTTTCAGTCAAAGGAACACGTCAAAAACAATTAAAATAGTTTCTGTTTTTATATAAATTTTCTTTTGTATGAAATATGACATGATGATCATTTTTTTTTTCATTATAATCAACAAAAATATAATGAACATCTTTCGGATTACTTTATTATTCCAATTTGTTTCACAACAATTCCCTACATTAACTGCTAATATATTATTGAACTACCTTATATAAATATGACATAAAATTGTGATCATATGTAGAATAGAGTATTGATTTGATCTCGCCTATCAGAATACGTGAAATAGAAAATGCTGTGGAACTTTTTTGATTTGAATTAACTGTTGGATATCTTTCTAGTCGAAGCTATTCTTCGCTTGATGTACTGCTTGTGAAAATCTATGTATCATATACAAAAATCAAGAGAATTGCACCAAATTCAAAAATAAAATAACAATATTTCTTAATCTGAATGTTCAAAAATTCTTTTTTTTAATTTTATGGTCTTTCATTTTCTTTGACATACCAGAAATGTCATGTTGATTTAGATTTTTTGAAAAATAATATTTACTTTTCTGATGATTTTTGTAAAAGAATTAACGACCAATTCAAATAATTTTCTCGAAAATTATTACATGAGACAATTAAGAGAACATGACGAATTATTCCGTATAGAAATGATGTTTTTCACTAGAAAAACAACAATATACTACATCACTGTTTCCCTTTTTCTTGCTTCTTCTTATCGTCATCTATGATTTCTCTATTCAACATTTAAGCAGAAAACTACGCGAAAGAAAATAATCCCATTTCCAACATTCTACATTCAGTCATATCAATTCTTCCAATAGTTTAATACATTTCAAAGAGAATCCTATCTGATTCTGGATACATATTTTTTTAGTTTTTTAATTCTAATTTATTGCTTATAATGAATAAATAAACGTTAGCAAGACACAATAAAGAAAATGAAAAAAACGGAAAAACTAATAAACTCAATGAATAAGTTCAATTTTATAGGAAAAAAGTTTTTCATCATCAGCTGATAATAGCGTTGTTAACTTAATAATGGATCCATCCTGAATAAATCCTGCATTATTTGCTGTTAATTTTATCGATCGACCATAAATTTCTTGTTTATATTCAACTTTGACTGAACGATTTTTCTTAAAATTTTTTAATAACAAATTAATAAAATACACCGATTGTGTTCGTTCCTCGAATTCTTTACCTGCTGATCGAATAGTTTCATTATAAGTACGTGAAGATATTAAGGTAACATTTTCTTTATAAATAATGTCAGAGTCTTGTCCAATAGAAAAATCATGTTTGTCTTTTGCAGCTAAATCAGGTAATAATGTTTCTCCAACAAGACGATCATATTCACGTATAATACAATTTCCACGAGAAAGAAAACGATCTGATGATAAACGATATGAGCGCTGACCTTTACCATTTGAGTTTCCAGTAGCACCAAAAAATGATTTTCGAATTAATGCATAGCGTTCAACTGTTACATATGGGCGAAACATTGGTAAAAGATAATTTGTTTTTCCATCAATTGAAAATGATTGATTTATTGAAAATACATATAAACCAGCTATTTCTTCACCTCGTGAAACTGTTGGTGGAGATGGTGTTGTGGAAAAATGTGCATTTGCTGGTGCATACATAACAGCATGTTCTCGAATTTCATATCTTTCTGATCGATGTTGTTCAAACATACGTAAATTAATTTCACCACCAATAAGTTCACCATATTCAATATCAATTTTTGATTTTCCATCATTTCGAATATCAGCCATTGCAATTATAATTGCTTGTTTTGTTTCTTCAAATAAATTTAATTGATAACGTGTTTTCCAATTAAGATTTGAACGAAGATAACTAAGATATACAGCATCTGTTGTATCATATGTAAAATTAACATAATATTTTGATTGAGATGGTTCATTATTATAAACAATATGATCAGGTTGAACAGTAAGATAAATTGCTTCTTTACTAATATCTTTATCAATAAGTTTAACAAGATTTCGATTTTCATCAATCATTGTTGCTTGAAAAAATTTTGTTTCTGTATTTGATGATGATGGAGAACGAACATAAACTTGAAGATTATTAAGTGAATTTTTCTTTTCAGTTATTGTTTGCTGTGTTATGTTAACATTTGCACCAACAAGAGTAATTGAATCAGAACGTATATCAGACCAATCTTCAGCAGAAAATTCAAGTGGTAATATACCTAATGGTTGAATTATTTCAGCAAAATTTGAATAAATTTTGACATGAGCGAATACACGATGATCAGTTCTTGTTAATACTGGAACCTTTTTCGAATACGATAAAGCATTTATAGTTACAAATTGTAAAATCAGAAGTATATTCATCTTCATCAAAAGAAATGTATGAGTTAACTAGTTGGCTAAATAGAATGAGAGAAAGAGTGATTCGTTGGTTGTTAGTTTTCTTTTTCTTTCTTATCCCAGGCAGTTGAATGATATGTTGCCCTTTTTCAACGGCATGTCTTTATATAAAAAGTAAAGATGATCAATAATCAACACGTCTTGTCTATGAAACAGTAGACAACACATGCGATTGATCAAAATAAATCTCATACGTGCTCATCGATAAGAGATATTCATAACTATCAGCACATCGTTTATTGCAATGTATTGTTTGTTTGAACTCTTTACTAATAATACAATCATATTATTTGTAGATTAGATTTCTGAATAAAATAAAGCATCATTAATCACACTTAAGTGTGATTAATGATACTTTTTATGCGTTATATTATATTTTGTTATCTGTTTTTTATTCACATGAATTGACATGGAAATGTTTCATATATATAACTTTTTCTTTGGATGAACGCATAATCAATTTCATATGATTCAAACAACTTGAACTTGTAAGCTGATTTGTAATAGGTAAAACTATTTCTAAGATAAATAATTCAAGAATTAACTAATTCGTTCATCGGAAATTACAGGATCAATGGAGATATTATATTAATTAAAATATTCATCTGCGAATTGTCAGATATGATTAATTCAATAGTACATATCGAGATATTATAATGAATTCTTCATCATATTAATGAGATCAAAAGTGTTAAAAATTCTGCTGTAAAATTTGTATAAAATTTATTGAATTTCATGTAGAATCAAGTTTCTGATCGTGTATCTCACAATTTTCGAAGGAGTTTCATTGTAGTCAATTAATATCCTTTTTGTCTAGAAAAGTATGTGAAAATGAATCATTTGACAGAAGTCAATTTTTCTCAACTAAGATTTTTCATTATTATATAAATGAAGCAGTTCTATAAATTGATGATCATTTCTTGAGAATTTTCGAGATATTGAACTTATTACTCTTTTTCTCCGCATAAAAATTAACACTTTAAAAAAAAGATGCTGTCAAGCACTACTGTCTACCATGCTATTTCATGTTAAAAAAAATATAATTAAGTATGTAGAATGAGGACCCACAGAGTTTGGGTCGCCAAATGAGCTGTCTATTATCCTTATTTACTGAATAACTCCAGAAACTGTTATTATATAGGGCAGAAAATTCTAGCATAGATTCTTCGCTATAGCTCCGATATAATGTGAAAATTTGATACAATTTGGATGCATGTAATCATAGATCAATTTTCCAAGGCGACGAGAGGATCTTAATCTGCAGGTATTATTATATTAATTCAATCCAGAAAAGTTCATTAAATCAAAATATGCAAAACTCATCTAAATATTTTAAAAACTAAAAGAATAATTAGGATTAATTTGCCAATAACTGAATTTGCCATTATTAGAAGCTTTGTTCCTAATAAGAAAAATCACCTTATTACATACAATGATCTGTTTGATTTTATTCTACATTAATAAAAGCATTTCATTTCAAAATGAAATGAAAACTTTTAGAATTCAACTGAATTCACTATAGATGTATATGAGATACATTCTTTTTATGAACGGTGACAATTTTTAGAACGACATGACACTGTGTATACAAAATGTTCGAAAATTCACCGAAACAAAGAACGTCAATAACTTTCAAAACATTAAAACAACATTCGTGAGGTTTCTGTAATTTTATTTCACATTTTTTAAAGTTCTAGTTTGCATAATTTTATTTGTGTTTACAGTTTAACATCATCACATTGAACTGAAACACGCAAGTATGATGTTTTCAAATATTTTTGAAAACTGACATAGCATAAAATTTCCTGCGAAATCGTCTTATGTTTGTTATCAATTCTTGTTGATATTTCAAGGTAGTCTTCAGTAGACATGACTTCTCGTGCATTCTCATAGAAAGAATCAAATGGCGCTAAGTAACGTGAGCATCAAGCTTGTCGAGCCGAACTAACTCTTTGAATTTGTCATAATAGGAGAGATGTTGCTCTGAAATTGACTTAATTTATTGTTGAAATTCGAAGAAGGCTCATATTGTTCCATTGTTTACTAATTTCTGTCAGTATTCATTGAGAGAATTCTTTAATATTATGCCAATTTGATGTTTTTTGTCGAATTCTACGGGTAGATTTACTTCTGTAATCTTCGATGACTCAAACTTATTGTCTAATAGAAAAATTTCTACTTTAATATTCATAGATACAGTCATTTTATATAAATTATGTTGAATAAAACTTTGATTGGTATGGATCCAAATGATGAAAGAAACATGTAAATTGATTAAACTGCTGAAGAGTTATTCAAATTTGATTTTGTTGTAAAATTTTGAAACATTCTGAATTTTCACTATTGTATCGTACAAGTCAACGTGTGACTAGTGAAAGAGCCTCGGTTATTGTGATTCATAAGAATTATAAGGTGCATATAATATAAATTTTAACTGAATTGAGACGAATGCTAACGATTTCTTTACGTCTTATTGTCCTGGAAAGATTGACATGTTCAAGAAAAGCGCATATCTTTTATTTTTGTTTGGAATTCTATAGAACTCAAGATGAATATTAGGTATGTCTTGACCAACAAGAAATATTTTCTATTCTAGTCGTATAAAGGAATTTGTAAGATCGAATACCAAAGTCGAACGTCAGTTTTTTTGAATTGTTCACATTTTAGCCTGTTCTTGATTTGCTAATCTTAGTAAAAAGATATGTCTCCAATAATGTCTGACAGAATTACTTGTAAACTACTGATAATAATACTAAGTTTTTCAAAATAATGCAGTAATTCTTTTTCATGATTTGATTTCGTATACCTCTCGTCGAGGAATCATGACAACATATACAAGTTAATTGAAAAATTTCTTCAAAGAAAAGGAAATTCTTTATATCTCTTACAACTTTGTTCGATTCAAGATATTCATTGAAACTTCTCATAGTTGATGCAAAATTTTTAGATTAGTAATAGGAACGTTTATTATTGCGATTGCTACGACAGCTATTTCTCATATTGTTTTTACCGAATGTTTTATTGGTATACATATTATCGAATAGAAATTCTTCTGCGTGTATCAAGAAAAAATCGTTTTTGATCGGATGAATTTCACTTAATATGATTTGAATATTATCAATATAAGATTAAATAGCCATGGATTTCTCAATTGATAATTGATTATATTTCAAATATTTGATCAAAACTAAAAACCATTATGAATGGCACTGATAGACTCATTAAAATGAAAATTGATTACTCATCTGTTGTCGGTCAAAAACTTAAAGAATGTGATGAACTAATGAAAGTAAACTGAATAATCAATTTAAAAATTGTTTCTACTATTGATTTTACTTTAGGATGAAACTAAACTAAACGAAGTTCTCGATCGATTATTACCACTTGAAAAACAAACCCGTACTGTAACTTATTTCAAAAGAAAAAATTTTCTTTTTTAGGTAATTTTTTCAACGAGATTTATAATTTTTTAGGCAGCTGATGCTATTTCAACAGGACGTATTCTTGTTGCTATTGTAAAATATTGTTATGTAGCAAAACAATGGGAATATATGAATGAACATATTGTAACATTTTCAAAACGTCGTAGCAAATTAAAACAAGCTATTACAAAAATGATGCAGGAAGCGTATGAACTTGTTGATAAAACACCCGATTTAGATACGAAACTTAAATTAATTGAAACACTTCGTACTGTTACAACAGACAAAGTAAGAATGATTATTGAAGAAGGAAAAACTACATCCTTATTTTTAATTAATTATTTGAAGTTTTTTGTTGAAAATGAACTTGCACGAGAAACGAAAAATTTGGCTGATATTTATGAAAGTCAAGATAAAATAAAAGAAGCAGCAGAAATTTTACAACAACTTCAAGTAAATAAAACTGTGTTTCATTGTAGTTTTTTACTTCTTATTTATTTAGGTCGAATCTTGTGGTACAATAGATCATCGTGAAAAACTTGAATTTTTACTTGAACAAATGCGTTTGTTTAGCTAAACATGGTTATATTTGAACACAAATTATATCAAAAAAGATTAATACAAAAACTTTTGAAGATGAAGCTTCACATGTAAATTTCAAATTTAACTTATTTTTCTTGTCATAAATAAGATTTTGATTGGATGTTGAAGTTGTAAGGCACAACCCATATATTCCTAATAATTGATATATTTTGTGGAGTTACTCTGAAAATCAATTGAATTCTATAGAATGAAATTTGAACAATTAATTTAACAAGGAGATAATTAGCGACCAAATAGGTCGCATAATGACATATCGGTCTTATAGATGATCATAGAGATAAATTTAGTACACTAACAAAATTTGTACCAAGCTTCGAATCCAAACTAGAAAAGAATCTGCAACACGCTATTGGTCTCTTTGAATAAAAGCCGCGGTGTGTATTTTTTCAAAGACGGTTCTTAAAGAATTTCGATTAGATTTATATTTGACATTGTTGGTTTTATTCTATCATTTTGATCAAGATAGATAAATGACTATTGATATCATCATCAAGTCATTATCATGTTTATCGATAATGCATAAATTGAAAGAATTACATTAAGTTTAATAAGATTTTTTTTGAGTCTCAGAAACTACATTGAGACTATGCAGCTGGAACAAGTAACAATATGAAATTTTTCTCAGAGCTGAACCTAGCTAAAAAAGACTTAGTTTGGATCATATCTACGGTCGAGAAAATTTGACTGATCTTATCTCTTACATTCTTAAAGTACCTACTGAAATATATAAAATTAGAATTAAAATTAATAAGAAGAAATATGTTGAATGAAGTTTTAATGGAAATCCAGCTTTCAAGAAATTCATTTCAAAATCTGCGCGAGCACCACCTAAAAAACTCTTGAATTCCTGGCGTTTGATTTATTTCCTCAACGAATGTCAGTTCTTTCAAGTCTTCTCTCATGATGTATCTTCCCAGAGTTTTAAAAGTGTCTCTCCGAAAGAGAAACTTTGTACATATCGCTTTGAAATAAATCAGTCAAGTAGAAGCTCTATTCTTCATTGGGATCATTTCGACCATTGGAAGCGGTTTATTACTGCGTTAATTTTTGCCGAAATTCGTTAGTCCATTTTTTTTCTAGCAAATGATTATCATTTTCCCAAGCTTACAGAAAAAAACTACATTATAAAATCGTTTTATATTGTTTACGACAACATTTTCTTAGAGCTGGTTATCGATCTCGATGTCATATGTCTCTAATTAAGATGTCAGCCATTTGTTTACTTATGATGTTCATCGAAACACACTAGAAACAAGCATTGGCGATAGGTGATTCATAGAATTTGTTCTAATAGGTTTTTCATAAAATAGGACTTGAAATTAAAATATTATGAACTAATGATCGAAACAGATATGCATTATAAAAATTATTTCGATGTTTGTCAACATTATAAACATTATAATGAAACAGCACGAATAAAACAAAATTCAGAAAAAATGAAAAAAAGCATTAAAATATGTTGTACTTTATTTGACTTTATCACCATATAATAATGAACAATGATTTTTTACATCGTTTATTTCTTGATAAAAAACTTGAACAAATTCCAAAATACAAGTAGAAATAAATTCTTCTTTTGTTCTAAAATTTTAATGTCAAATTTTATTTTTCAGAGAATTATTACAACGTTTTGAAACTCAAGAACTTATTCATTGGAAAGATATTCTTAAAAATTTCGAAAATGAACTAAAAAGTGGTACAAAAGATGATCCGCCAACGAATGTTTTTATTAATAATGATGATGGAAAAAAACGTTGGGAAGATTTTAAAGTTCGTATTGTTGAACATGTAAGTTCATTTTCTTGTGTTTTTGTTCTTAATATTATCAAAACTTGTTGGTATTATAGTTCTTTAAAAAAAAATATGCGTATTATGACAAAATATTACACTCGTGTTCGTACACAAAAGAGGGCTGAGCTTCTTGATTTAACAAAAGATGAAGTTGAACAATTTTTATCAAATCTTGTTTCAAATAAAACTATAAGCGCAAAAATTGATCGTCTGCAAGATATAGTTACATTTCAACAAAAACAATCACCACAAGAAATTCTTAATCAATGGTCAGTTAATCTTAATTCATTAATGGCAATTATTAATAAAACATGTCATTTAATTAATAAAGAAGAAACAGTTCATGCTGTACGATCATAATCAAAAGAAAAACAGACTATTGATATCTTTTTAAGAAATAAATATATCATGTTATATTAATCTTTGCAATTCTTTTTTTGTTGATCTTTATTTTTTATCTTACTCTATATCTTCGAGTAGACAAAAAAACCGAAGAATAAACTAAACCTATACTCTCTAGATGATGATGATAAAGCTACGCTCTTTGTTATTGTGTTTTATGGGCTTATTAGCATTGCAACGTAAGTTGATGGAATTTTTTCCAGAAAATGATCATTTAGTTTAAATATATTTATGGAAGAGGTTAAATTTTACTTTATTTCAAATCAATTTGTGAAGGTGGATGTAAAATTTTTTTTGTTTTTTTTTTTTGGGAGGGGAGGAGACATTTTTTCTCGGTAGTTTTCACAGGAGTGTACAGTGTGAAAAGTTTGATAAGCCTATGTACTATTTATTGACAAAAAGTCTGCAAATATCACGAACATTGAAGTTCTTTCCTTCATGTAACAGTGATTATAAATAGTTTTGCTATGACACTTATCGAAAAGTAGAGGTGGCTGCGATGATGATGATTGCAGGTCGATCAATACGACAACCGATTCTTATCAAATCCTTCAAGATCCCGTGGGAATCACATTCGATTATCTTGTGTTCGAATTTAGTTTTATTCTCAAGTTAGATTCAGTTGAAAGGACACTTGTTTGATAGAAGTATTATTAGAATCCGATTGTTAAATTTCTTGGATATCCACCGTAATTCTTTAGTGGATTCGTCAAACGGATTCTCATTGCATTATTCAATCTATAGTTTTGTTAAAAGCAATTGAATTAGTGTTTTATCTAGTCTGGAGATCAAGGGCAAGAGAGACACTTTTCTAAGGATGATATTTGCCTTCTTGAAGCCTAAGACTATCGTGCTATACATTATGTGTTTGCAGTTTCAAAGTTTTGAATCGCTTCTTCAGAAGAAAAAAACTAACTGGAACACTAAGTTGTATCCCATCTTCTAATATAAAGTGTCAATTAAATCCATCGCAATTTTCATAAGAAATAATAAATTCATTTTTGTTGAACATGCAAATAGAAATTTCAATAACTACTCTATGCTACTCCGGAAAGTCTGCTTCCATGGATAAATAATTTGCTTCAAAAACTTATTTCAATCACTTAACACTTTATAATGCACTTGAAAAACTTCACGCTTTCAAATTTATAAATTAAAATCTGATGTCTGAATAAATCGTCGTGCGAATTTAAATATCTAGATGGATGAATGACTTCATCAGATAAATTTATTGATTGTCTCATCGATCATCATTCACCTATTAAAAATGATCTGAAAAATGGTTTTGCAGAGCTTTCTAATTTTCAATGAAGGATGGTTATTTATGTATAAATTTGTAAATTTTTTCTTTATATTATATTGAAGAATCGCATATACTTGCTAATGGTATCGAATGGCCAAAACCGATTGTTTCTACAGCATCTTCATCAAAAGTTATTTCTGATTTAATATCACGAGTGCTCGATGGTGCTCCAACTGCTAGTCTTTTTCAAATTTCAATCAATGCTCACTTAGCTGTCAATGGCAAAGATGTCTTTGAACTATCTAATGGATCAGCACCAGGTTCAATATTAATTTCAGCATCAACGGGTGTTGCCGCTGCTTGGGCTTTTAATTATTATTTGAAATATATAGCAGATAGTTCAGGTATGATATAATATGAAATTTAATTTTAATATAATTTTCTTTTTAATAGTTTATTGGTCCGGAAAAAATATTCGAATATCTAATGGAACATTATTTCCAATAATAAAACCTATTCGAATTGTCGCTAATGATTTGTATCGTTGGTATGGAAATCCATGTACATTTAGTTATTCAGCTGTCTTTTGGAATTTTTCAAGGTAAAAAAAAAAATCTACTTTATTATTTTCTTAGTAGTTTCTCTTTTTTTGTATACAGATGGGAAAAGGAAATCGATTGGATGGCTATGAATGGTATTAATTTAGTCTATGCAACAACTGGAATGGAATATATATACAATAAAGTCCAGATTTTAAATTCACATTAGAATTATTGTGTTGTTTTATTTAGATATTTCTGCGAATGGGTTTTTCACAATCAGAACTTGATGATTATTTTACTGGTCCTGCATTTTTAGCTTGGTAAGAAAATTTCATATTTTTGAATTGTTCATTTATGTGAAACAAGAAAAAAAATCAGGTTTCGTATGGGCAATCTTCAAAAACATGCTGGTCCTTTGTCAAACAGTTGGCATCAATCACAATTTCAACTTGCTAAGCAGATTATTCAACGACTGACAGATATTGGAATAATACCAGTTTTACCTGCTTTTACTGGTTTTATGCCACGAACAGCACCATCGTGAGTAGAGAACAAAGATTTATTATTCTTCTTAATACTGTCTTAATATTAATTTAAATGATGAGCTGTACATTCTTTTAAATGAAGAGAAATACTTGATCTCTTTATTTGTGTAGACGTTTTCCTTCAGCAAAATTTCATTATTCTTCTGATTGGGTTGGTTTTGGTTGCAATGAATCTTGGTTTGTTTTCGAATGTTATGAAATAATATTTATTAATAAAAAACAAATTATATATTTTAGTTTACCATATCTTGATCCTACTGATGCATTTTTTCAAAAAGTTGGAGTCGAATTATTGAATGAAGTACGTCAATTGGACGAGATAGACAAATTTCATTGTTTTCCAAATTCTGACAGTAACTCACTAAACCAAATGGGATAATTCAATACTTCTCTGAGAAAAAAAAAGAGATCATCAATTTTTTTCAATTCGCTCATCACGAATCATAGCATTGATAGAAGCGATCTGGATTTTTAACGAGTAGTACAAGCATTAGTCTGTGCATGTTAGACTGATCGATGTACTCGCTCAACTGATCTATCAAAATATCATTCTCAGTTTAAGAGTCTACTTTCTGATGCTTCTCACATATTCTTGAATGAGTCCTATACAATAATTGCTCAAAAGCAGAAATAATAGTAATGTTCAAATTTCACCATGAAATATTTCATAGTTAATAATTTAATTGAGGAAAAGAAAAGTGGCTAAATAACTTAAGTTGAAGACAAATTGATCGTTAGCACTACAATCTATCTCTGAATTATTGACATTTAATATACATAAGTAATAATATTTTATTATAGACAATAACATTACTGAATTTGACTTCTCATTATTATGCTTGTGATCTATTCAATGAAATGACACCACCGATTAGGTAAGTTTATCTTTATCGATATTGATATTAATTATACAAATTTCATTCAGTGATCTTGATTATTTGGCTGATATTAATGCAGGTATTATACAAGTTATGCAAACAGTTGATCCAAGTGCTATTTGGTACAGTTTTACAAATTAATAGCATATTTATTTCTTTTATTTATGATAAAGGGTAATGCAAGCTTGGTTATTTTTATCAGGCTTTTGGACAGTTGATCGAGTCAAAAGTTATCTTAGCAAAGTTCCAATAGTAAGAATTATTCTGTTTTTTTTTGTTTACAAAAAAATTTACATAAGTTAAATTCAGGGTCATTTAATTTTACTCGATTTATTTTCTGAAGCTATTCCACAATATTCACGTTTTGAATCGTTTTATGGACATTATTATATATGGAATATGTTACATGATTTTGGTGGAAATAATTTTCTATTTGGTTCACTTGTCAGTGTTACTAATGTAAATAAAGATTGTTGTGATTGGAAGATATTCATTTTTTTTTATAATGTTAGGGTCCACAAGCAGCACGAAATTTTTCTCATGATCACATGGTTGGAGTTGGTATTACAATGGAAGGTATTAACCAAAATGAAATCATGTATGAGTTTGCTCTTGAACAATCATGGCGTAGTCCGCTTAATGATATCGAATTAAACGATTCAAAACGTGAATATTGTGGAATAGCTTCAGAAAATAAATCGAGTAAAATTAAATGACCCTGAATTTAACTTATNGTCCGCTTAATGATATCGAATTAAACGATTGGTAATTTTTATTCAATTTTTTTTCTTTTTTTTTTATATAAAGATTTAATAAACTAGGCTCGTTGGTTTTGTTATTCGTCGATATACAGGTGATCATCCAGTACCTGATTCAGCATTATATGCATGGCAATTATTAGGAAATTCAGTTTATCGGAAAAATCTTTACGGTGATCATCCAATTATGTTAAGTAGACCGAGAGTTAATATCGAACAAGACGTAAGTTTTGCAAAGATATTAAATAAGCCTTTTATTTTTGTTAAAAATCTTTTATAGATCAATTTTGATATAAAATCTTTATTATTAGCATGGGAATTATTAATTGATGCATCAAATGAACTTGATTCAGATTTATTTCGATATGATTTAGTTGATATAACTAAAGAAGTTCTTCAATATAAATTTGTTAGTGTTTATATTCAATTTATGTCAGCTTATAATCAAAGTGATCTTTATGGTGTTGGGTATGTTAGAAAAAAAAATTCTTTTTTTTTTGTTGTACTAGAAATAAATTAATATATTTTTAGTACTCAAGCAGCTATTCTTGTTGATATATTAGAAGATACTGAATTAGTATTAGCTTCTGATCATCGGTTTTTATTAGGAAATTGGATTCGAGATGCATTACAATTTGCACAAAATGAAGAAAATATTCATTTTTATAATTTTAATGCTAAACTTCAAGTATCAATTTGGGGAAATAATTATACATTAGATTTGTATGATTATGCAAATAAATTTTGGTCAGGAATGATTCAAAAGTATGTCATCGAACATTAGATTAATGATATTAGCAGGTTTTTTTACATAGTTATTATGCTCAACGATGGTATGTTTTCTTTGATGTTGTTATCAAAAGTCTTATTGAAGTATGATTTTTATTATTTTTATTAATTATTCTTAATGATATAGAATTACTTTAGGGTCATCCAATAGATTCAAATCTTTTGGGTGAACGACTATTTCTTGAAGCTGAATTACCTTTTTTTATGTTAGATACAAAAACCTATCCAACTAATACACAAGGTAAATACTCTGACTGATTTGACTTTAGAAAATATTTTGTATTTCATTGATAGGTGATTCAATTATGATTGTTCGCCAATTATTTAATAAATATCATTCATCTTTAAACGATATTTATTTGAAAGAAAAATCTACAAGGAAAACATTTCATTTTAAATATAATTTCGATTAAAACATATTCAAAAGAAATTTGAATTTTTCGAACTAAATTGATATGAAATATTTTTTTCGATAATCGTGTTTTGCTTTATTGTGATTAAAATATTATTAATATTGTTCATCATTTATTTTTGCAGTCTAAATCAATATCTTAAGTAATCTTAAAAGATTGTAATGCTACGTATTCTTTATTGATATGATACTATTATAAACTAATTTTTATAATTTGCTCTTCTTTTCTTACTGATTCACGAAATTTTCACAATAAGCATAGAAGAGTAAAACAAAATAAAGATATCGATAAGAGCAACAATATTCAAAAAAAAAAGAGAACAAATCGCTCGTTTTGAAAGTTATATTACTTTATGAATGGTATAACTATGAAAGAAAAAGAGTGAAAAACTTTTGTTTCAACTTCATAATGGCATAAATCTTGTCTACTAAGTCAAGAATACCAAGTTCTGATATTTCTTCCGTCAGTTTTACTGTATATATTTAGCCCAGTGAGATTGTCATTTCATATGGTCTTGTGTAGTTTCATATGTTAATCAGAAAGCTACCATTTCTAATCAGATCGATTTATAAGATTTTATTCTATTTCTAAGAATATTATACAACCGTAGTCCTGTTATCTCCAGATTTTATTCGTGAAAAAAAACTGGAGCTCAACAGTTCGCTTTGATCATGAAAGAAAAATGTTTCGATCGATAAATGATATTATTCATCAAAAAGATATTTTGTTGTAAAACTTGCTTAAATTATGATACATTCTTATGAAAGTATCTATTTAAACCTAATTAATAAACTCACTTCTATCAACTGGATCTTTCTTTCTCGACTCTAAATTAGTATTTTTCATGTCTGAAATGATACAATATTTCGTTTTTTTTTCTCGCTTTCACAATCATCGATGAAAGCTTGTAATAAATTAATCCTATAAAATTGTCGCGCAAACAATCGATTATAAAAGCATATGGATATATCGCACTCTTGTCGATTCGATGATATTCGAAAAGTAACAACGACAGTGACGAAATTCGAGATGCTAAACGAGCAAAGTATTTTATCCAATCGAACAACGATAGAGAATAATCGAAGTTGTCATATGCTTATTCATTTCGATTGTTTTTTAACAGGAAAACAAGAGAGAGATATTATGTAGAAATGGATATATCATATACGCATTCGAATCATTCAATTTTACTCTTTTTACTAGACTTAGTCATATACAAACGAAAAGATATAAATGTGGCCAAGATTATTTTTTCATTATATTTCGACTGATATGGTTGCTAATACGAATATCACAACTGTTTTCTTCTCTCAAGAGCAATGCGCAAAAGAAACAAAGAAGTTTTATCTTAAAGAAAGAATGAGAGAAAGAAAGAGAGAGAGAAAAATGCTCATAATCCTTATCGTATGCTGTATGACACATTTAACCATCAAGTAGAAAACAAAAGAGTCAACAATCATTAGATGTGACCATGGAATTTTATAAAGAGAAAGATATTGAAATGTGGAATCGTAGGAAAATATTCTCATTTATTCATTTACTTCGTATCATCTATCGAATCAAATATAAAAATTAAAAAGAAAATGAAAACAATATAATAGATTTTAGATTTTTAGTGAAAATAAATAATGTTATTTATAAATATAATTGCAGAATGTGTAACAAAGTCAATATGGTCGTCAGTATCGTAGAATATGAGAATACATTCATACATGATTAAGTCATATGATTTTGTTCTTTTACTCAGACTATACAAATAGAACACCTAAAGCGAAAAATTTGAATAAAATGAACTTGAAAAGAATAGAACATCAATATACTTATTGTTCAATATGGTATGAGTGACACTTAGATGTTTTCAAACAAATTCGAGGTCAACGAACTAATAGTAAAATAAAACGATATATAAGATTTATACTTTCTTCTTCCATAAACTCATCATATCAAGCAAAAGATTGTACAAAAAGAAAAAAACTTTAACCGCTATTCAATTGCCTTAGGCATCTAGTGGAATGAATGAATTGAATAGAGAGAATAGGGAGAGCGCTGTTAGATTAAAGTCAATTTGAGAGTACAACATTTTTATGTCATATGCCAGAAAAAAAGAAGGAGCGTTATATCATCAGCATCAATTGAATATAAACCAATTGAAAAAAAACCTGTCCTGTTATTATTTTTGATTATTCGATGATAAGTCTTCACACAGTGTATACTAATAGTATACTTCAATGCGTATGATATAATCAGGTAGAGTATCCCATTGTACATAAATGAATAAATTAAAACAAAGACAAATACAAAACATACACATATTTCACAGCTATAATTCATTATTATCATCATCACAGTATTGCTTAGTTGATTGTGTTATAATTCTAATGGTGAACTGCCTGTTGATAGTCAATGAAATTATTATTTGTTGATGAAGGAAATTATGTAAAATAATAAGTAGACGATGTTTGTAAATGATTTGATGGAGATGTTGATAAATCTGTTCCAAAATAATTTGCTGTTGTTAATGATGTTCCATTATTCGAATAGGCTACATCAGTTGATTCTAAATTTGTTGGATATGATGGTAAATCAATATAAGCAGATGTATGAGGAATTGGTAGAAATTGTTGTTCATTATAATAGAGTTGATGACGATGTTGTTGTGAACGAGGAACTGATTGATACGATTCGTGTTGTTTTGATGATGAAGATATAAGAAGATCATTAAGATTTTGTTTATGATAAATATTTTTATTTGTTGATAATAATTTAGGTATAGATAACGTAAAATTATTACTACTAACTCTTGAATTATTAAGGGATATATGTGTTGAAGGTGATGATGCTGACATACGAATATGTTGATGTTCATTATGAATGTTTTTGGATTCATTTTCTGATTCATCATCACTGTTTGATACAGATGAATCAGTTTGATTCCTAACTGATGTTGATTGTTGATTATCATTATGATTATTACTATTTGATATACGTGTTCGAGTTTTCGATCCTTGTTTTGTACATTTAAAACGTTTTTGTCGCCGTAAATAACAACCACTTTCAAACATATTTCCAGCATCAGAATGTAATGTCCAATATGAACCTTTACCTGGTCGATCAGGTCCACGTGGTACTTTAACAAAACAATCATTAAATGATAATGAATGACGAATTGAATTTTGCCAACGTTGTTGATTTTGTTGATAATATGGAAAAGCAGTCATTATAAATTGATATATATCATGTAATGTAACCATGCCTGATGATGCATGTTGAATAGCCATTGTAATAAGACTTATATAAGAATATGGAGGTTTTGATGGTGTATTATCACAATGATTAGTTGCAACTGTTGTAGTTAATGATTGACGTTGTATAGATGGACTTATATCAATGTTTACTTTTTCAACAGAATGATTTAAATCATAAGATGATGCTGTTAACATATTATTTGATGAATTATTATAATAATGCATTGCTGATGATTCGGATTCGATATTCGTTGTTGATAAAGATTCTACAGGTACAAGAGTTGCATAATATAATTGTTGTTGGCTAACAATTGGATTAGTTGTCAGTTGTTGTTTAAATCGTACCAATTCATTTAATGCTGGTTTAAAGTCTGGTATCATATTGTTTGATGATGATGATGATGATAATGTTGATTCATCACCTGTACTCGTTTCATGATTATTCATTTTTTTGTTGCTTTCTGTTTTCTTTTTTTTTTCCTTTTTGAGAAAATATTAAATCAACAAGTATTTAAATTGATAGATGCTCCGTTATGTTGATTACTATTTGATCCTCATTTAAGAATTAAAAAAATAACTAGTTTGATTGTGTATGTTTAAATTAAAATACAAATAAATTTTCGACAATAATGATAGCACCAAGAACAAAATTGCGACGAATCCTCGTCAAGTAAATGAGAAAGAAAAACGGAAATGAATCTCTCACTTAAAAAGTCTACAGCTATTTTTCTTTTTCTTGTTCTTTCTCCATCGTATTCTTTTCTTTATTCTTCTCTTGACTTTCATTGTAATAGCATGATCAAAATCTCTCCTTCTTTTTTCTCTGTAGGACGAAATTTTGCTGTGTATATGCGCCCGCTTTTATTATAATTCAGTCATCCGACCGACGAATAGAAAAGAAAAAGAATCGAAGAAACAATAGAGGCAAGAAATTGCGAGTACGTGTTATTTCATCGAAGAATGTCGTCATTGTGAAATGTATTCAAGTTACAAAGATTGTGAAGAAAAACCTGACTCAAGCAAAAAAAAAAGAAAAGGGAGAAAAAAAGAGATGGAGGGTTCGATTTCTTATCTGAGTAGATCAGGAGAGAAAAGATGAAAAATTAGACGGTTAAAACACAGAAAATCTTTTTTTGTGATATATTTTTGAAAAAAATCTCGTTATATGATTCGTCAAAAAAAACGAAGCTTTTTTCTTTTCATACGAGCTTTTCTGACGAATGAAACGAAAACAGTAAAAATAAAAATCTTATCAACAGAAGGAGATAAATATATGCTGAAGGTTGATGTTGACACAATAATGAACAATAATCTTTGATTATTTCTTCATACTTTATATTTTAATTCTAATAATTTATATAAACAAGAGAAAAGAGCTATCATCTGAAAGAAAAATACAAATTTTCATTTCTACTTATCTCATAGTGTTGTATATGTGAGCATTAACAACTATACAAACAAGTGGTGGAAGAGAAAAAGTGACTCTGTAGATACGCCTCGCCATTAGTAAAGTGTTGTCTATTACAAATAAGATGCCTCATCGGGACAGACTCATATACATTGTTTCAAGAGAAAAAAAGCCTTATTGTGTAAATATACTCGAAAAAAAAGAGAAAGACACATGAATCGAATTAAATAGTAACACGAAATTTCTCTTTGTCAACTGATTAAACAAGTTAAAAACTCTTAATTAAATGTTGTCACAAAAAAGATGTGACATTCTTTCATTTGTAACCATTTTAAACAAATATGCATAACCTTGAATATTTGTTGAACGTGCATCTTATTTGAGTCATCGGACTTAATGAATAAAAAATTCAAAAAAAAAAGAGATCAATTATAATTTTTTTTGAACAGATATGTCCTTTGATGTTGAACATAAAAGATTGCTCAAATGAGTGTACAAATGAGAAAAAAAAACTGATTAAATTTAGTCTTATTTAAAAGAAGAAACTAGATTAACTTATCATGAATTTGGATAATAATAATTATTGATTGCTGTATCGAGAGAGACTATGTTCATATTGTAAAACATTATTATTTGGATCGTATGATTGATGTGTATAAGTAATTGAGAGATATTCAATTTTATAATGATGATAATATTGTTCTGATGATGTCGTTGCTTGTCGTGATGATGAATTAGTTTTATTTTCAGTTTTACGATTGATTTAAAAAAAATTTTGTTCTCGTAAATGACAATCAGGATGTAATATCTAATAGGAACCTTTACCTGGTCGATCAACACCAAGTGAAATTTTAACGAAACAATCATTAAATGATAATGAATGACGAATAGAATTTTGTCAATGTTGTTGAGTAGTCGATTATATACATAATGATCTTGAATATTTTGATAAATTTCAGATAAAGTACGCATACGTTCTGGCGATTTTGTTATTACATGACGAAGAAGATTGTTGTAATGATGAATTAATAGTCAATGATGATCAAAGATTATCCGTCGAACAAGCAGGAAAAAGAGGAAGAGGGATTGGAACACCTGATTGGTTGAGTACATGTATATACATCACTTTTTCTGCCTCTCTCTTGCCCTTTTCGCATGACCACCATTAACAAAAAGAAGAAGGTCAATTGGTTGAAAAATAAAACCTTATATCTCGTCGTTATAGTCAACCATTAGAGATAAAGTATAAATAGTTTATCCATCGAGGCAAAAAAGACGTCGTTGAATTTTATCGATGTTGAGCATATTTTATTCTATTTTCATAGCATTTTGTGTTTACTTTTCATTTTATAGTCAAGCTGTTTCTTTGCTTTGATAAGAATTACAAGCTAGTTTTTTTTTAATGACTCGAAATCATCTGTCTTTTTTATTAAATATAAACGACACAACTCAATAAGATACAATACGTATCACTTACTACCGTTTTTATTTTATCCTTGACAACTATATATACAAAAATAACTTCGTCTCCTTTTCTTTTTAAGAATGTGAGAGAGAAAGAGAATTTAATTGTTCAAATTCTTTGTTGTTCTCTTATATTGAGTTAAGTAAATATATAGATGGTATATCGTTTCATCGTCTATACTATGTTCAGAATAAAATTTTTGTATTAGAAGTTGGTAAATAAACGTGACCAATAATATACTTTGGTCACTCGGCCATCATAGTTATTTACTTTTCGATTTTGCCTTTTTTCATTAGAATGTACATGTGAAAATGGATAATATGAAGAAAAAAAAAATCGAAATATGGGATTAAACTTCCTCTGACAGTCAAGAAATCTTCTCTGTTGTTGGTCATTTTACTTTTTATCAATTTAAACTAAACATTGAACTTTATTGATAATTTAATCAATAGTCGAAGTCTATGGTTCGAGTAATTGATAGCTTCTTTATTGTCAAGAGATATTATATCACTCCAAGATGGTTCTTAAAGACCACAAATATTTAAATATATAGTTAATAATTGATTTCTATTGAACAATTTAACAAAAAAAGAGAGAAACTGAATTGAACTGCTCTATTGTGGAAAACAAAAATATGGTGGTGACTAACAGTTCGTCGCAACACGTTGTGTGCTGGACTAAATCCGTAATTGTTTATATTAAGTATCTCTCATTTGATACTATTGTCTTTTTAGTGTTGCTTTCTTTTCAATTGGGATCGTATGCCACCATTTTTGTTAATGAAAAAGAAAAGATTGATCTCGCTAATGAAACTTGTTGATTATGAATAAATTCACATTTAACCATACAACAATGAAATGATTAGCTGAAACGTTCAGAAATTTTATTTTAGTGTAATGATTATTCAGTCTGGTGACTTCTTTTTCATGATCACATTTTAGTTTATCTCCAGGGATGTGGGAGGGTGTAGCCCCCCTCCAGTAATTAAAAATTTTCAGTTTTTACGAGCCAGAAACACCAATCTTTTCATGTATGTATTAAAATATCTATGTTGTTATTAAATTTTAATGATATCGAAATTTATAACGGATTGATTGCCGTCTACGAGCAATATTACATGTCGGACGTATAATCACCTTCTGAAGTCCTTAATTTTCAAGTGAATAAAAATTACTACGAGATAATGCTTTCTAAGATCTAATGAATAATAATTCATATACTAGCTTTGATCTTATGCCTGAATTAATAGACGAGTACGTAGACTAAAAGACTCCTACATTTAAGAAACATAGCCAGCGTAACAAGTGAACGTTTGTAAAGTAAAGTCAAAGATGCAAAATTAAACAAAACTAAGGATTGATTCATCTTATATTTTGTTGAATCTCTGTTCATGACATCTGTTCAGACGCTTAATATTAAAAAGAAGGCGTAGTAATATCTTTAAATAATGGTAAAGTTTCATCAATGATATAGCTAGAATCTGATGCTGCCAGATTAATATCATGTATATTTTTTGTTGAGTGTATGCAAAAAAGTCCAAAAAGAGTATAGGTAACAAAAAAAAAACAACGATTGCCTAATCCGCTAAAAATGGAAGATTAATTGTTATTTATATGATCCAACAACACGTGATGGATCATTAGCTTGTTGAGTTTGTAACGATGGTTGTTGTTGTAATGTCATTGCTGTCAAATGTTTACCAATTCGATCATGAACCTAAATAAAAATATATTTACAGAAAACAAATTCGAAAAAAAGATTTTTGACTTATTACATCCATATATTTGGCAACACATCGATCAATACAAACAGATTCACCTATAAATTTTCAAATGATCAATCAAATAAAATTTCGATTAAAATCTACCTTTGGTTAATTCTGAATCTTTATATCTTGGAATAACACATTTTTTATGACAAGCCGTTGTCATTCTTTATTTGAACAAAAGTATTCATTGATGTTCTTTACATAAAATTAATTTTCTTACCGTTTATAAAGATCTTGCATCATTTCAATTTCAAGTTCGCCAGCTGCTTGCCATTGATTTGAATTAAGTTCATTTGCCATACTTGTTTCTTTTTTTATCTTAAATTTGTACTTTAAAGTCAGTTCATCCTAATAGGCATGTTTTTATGTACATAAGGAAAAAAAAGAACAAGTTAAGAATAAACACAAAAGAAAAAATATATATATGTATAGCAATGAATAATAAACACAGCGCTGAACAGAGATGATCACTGTATTTTTCTTTTTAATAAACAGAGAAAAAAATAAAATGAAATTGATTTTAACGAACATTTACATGATGTTTTGAAGATCTTGTATGTGCCGAAGATGGTTGCCATCGTTCAGGTATTGGAAGATATTCAAGTGGAGTAAATCGAAAACGAGCTTCAAAATAATGATCATAATCAAGTGCTGCAGTATTCGATTGATCGTATCGTCGATCAGAATATGAATGATCAACAAAGTCAGAAGGTGCTCGACGAATTGTACCATTATTGTTAGTCGGAACTACACCCCGCGGTGGGGGTGGAGGTGGTGGCGGCGGTGGTGGTGGCGCAGTAGGACCATTAGGATTGATTTGTTTTGGAGATTTTGAAATATTATCTGATAATGTGTGACCATTATTAGTCGAAGAATATGGAGGTGGTGGAGGAGGTGGTGGAGCACGAGTAATTTTTTGTTGGCAACCTGAAAAGTATATTGAAAAAGTTCTTTGAAAAATGAGAAGAAGAAAATAAACCTATTGTCGAAGATGATGTGTGTTCTAGTTTTGGTTTACTTTCATTTGATGGTGGTGGCGGTGGAGGTTCACGTGGAGGAAGTCTTGGTGCTTGATGAGTAAAATTTCGTGTTGGAACTGCACTATCAACTAAACAAAATAAAAGTAATATTTTTTTTATTCGTTTGTCAAAATAATTTTGTTCTTACTTCCATGACGAGATTGATCAAATGAAGGTGTTTTTACAACTGGTTGATGTACAGGTGGTGGTGGTGGTGGTGGTGGTGGAGGAGGAGTAGAAGAAGTAGTTACTTGTGGAATTGATGGTCTTTTAACTTTTCCAGTTGATCCACCAATAGCAGATGGTTTCAACATTGTGGGATTAAGTTGATTTGGTGTAATAAGAGGAGCAGTATTTGCTCTTTCATTTATATGTGATCGATTCGTCGTTGAATTTCGCGTATTATTATTAGTTGAACTTCCAATAATCGGCGCACTTCTATCATTAGTAACCGTCTTTTTAAGAGCGCCTATCTTGAAGTTTCCAATTTCATTTAAGATGCCAGATCGATCAGTACTAGCCGTCATCGGTGCTGATGGCAATGGTGGTGGCGGAGGAGGCGGTGGTGGTGGTGGCATCTGAAACAGAAAAGTTTGAAAATTTTATTTTAAAACTAATCTAAAACGTCACTACAAAACAAACAAACTGAATCATAGAACAAGAGTTTGTACGTAAAAAAAACATACATTATATTCATTTTTTTGTCCTCGTTCTTAAATACAACTGTAGACCGACAAATAGTCAGCCATGCGCTACACTCAAATTCTTTATAAGATAAATAACGATAAAAACAATTTTTTGGTGCTGAAATAAGAAAAAAGAATGGAAGTGAAAACTATATTGAGATAGATTAACTGTTCTTATTTGTGTATATAATACTGTTATATGAAGAAATCCCTGAAAGCAATAGTAACGAAAAAACAAACAAAATTAGTATGATTAATCATAAACTTAATGAAAAAGAAAACAAAAAAAAGAAGATTTTTTTGGATCACAACATTCACGTTTGAATTGAGCTTTATTGGTTAAGCTAAGTTCTTTCATTAAAGTTGTTGTTGTTGTTCGGGTGCAGATAAGTTTTGTTTTGAAAATGATAAAACTCCCATTTGATACTGATGTTTTGTTGGTTTTTGACGACGCTCTTTTTGTCGTTTTAATACTGGGATGGCAAATAGTATAAGACCACTTAATAAAATTGAACCGCCAAATATTATATATGGCCAAAGATAAGGTCGATCAAAACCCGAAAATGCATCGCGCATTGTACCTTAAGCAGTTAAATATATTGAAAGAAAATTTTTCTTGATTTTTTTTTCTTACCAACAATTGGTGTTCCGATAGCAACAGCAACACCTTGAAATAATAAAAGAACACCAAAAGCATCAGATAATTTATCAACACCAACTAAATCTACAATAATAATCGATGTTAAACCAACATAACCGCCAGAAAAAAATCCAAATAATGCAGCATAAGTCATATGTGTTTGAACAAGAGAATTGCAAAATGGTGCAAACATTGTTGCTATACCAGCAATTATTAATGTTGTATTGTATAATGTTAAACGATTAACCTGAGTGAAAAAGAAAAAATAAATTATATAGAAAAAGATTCTTTTTGTTTTGCTACCCATGATCGATCAGCTAAATAACCGATAATGACTCGACCAAAACAATTAGCAATGCCAATTGACATAATAATCCAATGCCTTTGATGTTCAATAACTTTAGCATCAGTAGCTAAATCATTCGCAAAGTTGTAAGGAACATTAAAACCAAGACTCGTTAAAAAATTTGATATAGCGAATAAAGCAAATGCAGCATCTTTTAATAAACTAAGATCAATTTGTTCAGCTATTTTTGAAAAAAATGATTTTTTTGGAACTTTTTTAGTTGTTTCATTTGCCATATCACTTGTTGTTATCATTTGACGATGATATTCATTAGTATCCTCGTTATACAATGGAATATTATGTAAACTACCTTGATAAATCGCATCTTTACGTGAGACTACAATTGGTAAATCAGTTGTGCCTGTTTTCGATACATTTTCGTGAGATCTTGAAAGAATTTCGTCTGGAGGATTATTAATATAAAGGTCATTTTTCTTCAAATCTGATAGTGATACTCGGCGTTTATCATCAGATAGACATTCTTGTTCAACAGGAACAACAGCAGTTGATTCTTTTGGAACTACACTTACTTCTTGTAATGGAATCTCACTAAAACAAAATACAAATTTGATATATCTAGAGATGCCACAAATTATTAGTTAATTGTGTGCAACAAAAGACTATCGAGATTTACTGCATTCATTTAGATCACAAAATTTATCATCTAATAATAGTACAAAATATATTTTAAATATATAAAACAAGAAACATACTTCTGAAGAGTAAATTGTCATCATGAACTGGTCTCATATCTTAAATATTGTCTCGCATTCATCCTCAATCAAGTATTAATCCTCACCATAATTCCTCTCATTTAATGGAAAAGATCAGTACTGAGAACTCATTTTTCTAATAAAGAATTCTTTATAGAATTAATTGCTGATGTAAAAAGGATTTCATAATTTGCAACAAAAACTATTTCTTTTTTGTTAACAGCATTTATCAAACATGATTCAGTCAAATAAAGAAAAAGTTTATTTTTCAATTAAATACTTACTCGGACACAATATCAGAATTTCTAACCTTTCTCGATTCGTCGAAAGTAATTGACTTTGTTGTTCATCATTTGGACTAGTCTCAGTTCCTGCTTTGAGTGTTTGTCGTTTAGCTTCTGCTCGTGCTTTTCGTTCTACACGTCTTATTTCACTCGGTTCTTGTGGCAAGGGGATCTAAAGCAGAAGAATTCTAAAAAGATTTGTTTTAATCGAGATAAACAATACCATTAAAGCGCCAAATATAACACAAATAAAGATAACTGCTGCCTCAAGTAGAAGAGCACCTTCATAATCAAACCACAATGGTGCATTTATAATATATGGCATAACGGCCGGAAATACCAGTGTACCCAAACCTGAACCACAAACCGCAATACCCATAGCAAAAGAGCGTTTACTTTCAAAATAGAAGCCAACAGAAACAATAGCTGGTAAATAGATTAAACCAAAACCAACGCCTATTGACATATAAATCTACAATTATCAGAAAAAAAACAGAATTTCTGGCAAGATGTACCTCCAATAATGCCGATCGTTAGATAATAAAACCAAAGATTCGCCCAAAAATAGCTCATTAAAAAACCAGTAGCAGCTAAACAAGCTCCAACTATTGTCACTTTTCGACATCCATATGTATTTGTAAATATGGTTGCAATAGGTCCTAAACATTTACTATTGCATAAAAAACTCATTTTCAAAGAAAAAAACTCTTCACCTGTCGCAAGTGTTATTGCCGGCAAAATTCCAAAAATAGTTGAAACAGGTCCTCGAGTTTTCTTTAAATTATCCATCATAGGACGTAAAAATACATCTCCCATTGAATATGTTATTCTATTATTTTGAAATAAAATTAGAATTTAAATAAAATAATTTTACTAACCCATCCATTATAAAATGTATCATAAGAGATGCAAATACAATAATCCATCCCCAACCACCATCGGGTACAACAGCTCCAGGAACTGCACTGTTCGTATTACCACCACTCGTCATTTTTAGTGTTCCATTCTGAAAGAAAAAAAACAGGAATAAATTAAATGAGCTAGACAGCTGTGCTTTTCATTGTCGATTAACTATTTAGCCATTTTTAACAATAGCAAACAAATGGTTTGATAACAACCATTTGCTGCCTAAAAAAAACGGCAAAACAATGTAAAAATTAAAATAAATGTATCTTTATCAATTCAGCGTACATATTTGCATGTACTATATTGCTTCTAATCTTTCGTCGTTACTCAAAGTAAAAGGACGAAAAGAAATATCAAAAGATTATTTTCGAAAAAAGAAAAAAAAATTTTTTTTTGCATCCAAAAAAATGTAAACAATCAAAACAAGGATTATTTAAATTTTTCTCGTAACTGATGCCAACGTTGAACAACTGATGTTAATGATTCCCACATTAGTTTATAACCATATTTAACATAGAAACTAAAAAAAAGAATCGACGAAGAAAATATGTTGTTCTTTTCTTTTTTTGTCTTTCTGTACTTACATGCCGAACAACACTCCACCTAAATGTGCTGAATGATCAAGATAACGCCAGCGCATTATTGTACCGAAAAGATCAAAGGACACCATAGATATAAGAGCCTAAAAAAATAGCATTATTGCATATGTTTTCTGTTCTTAGAAGAAAAAAAAACTTTTTTTTACTGATTTAGCAGAGAAAGTAAAGAAAGGAAGAAATATTATTGCTAATTGTGCATCAGGAAATTGCGTACAAATGGCACCCAATAATGCCATTATTGAGCCAGACTAAAAATAAAAATTGTTAACACAAAACATGTTTACACCATACCAACAGTAATACATTCTTTCAAAATTAAATAGATTTTCTTTTAGAAGAAAATTTTGCCTATGTTTGTTATAATATGAAATAATTATAAAACATGGCATCTCATATATCTTGACTTGTTAAGAAATTTTTTCAATTCATTGTAAATAAAAAAAAGAAGTTTTTAATGGCATAACTATGTCAACGGAATATTTCTTGTTTTCATATTGCAGTAGAAGAGTATTTTATTACTGAAATTTATCTTATGTTAGATTATCATTCTTCATCGGCATACACTAAACAAATAGGAACAAATTTTATACGAAACACAATAATGGTATTTTTTTGAAAGACTTTTTTACACTTGTTCTTGCAAAAAAACTGGTTGCATCTACTTCATTATTTCAAATAGTGGCTATTAGTTCGATGAATTTCGTTATAAATGAGCTTTGGAATTTAATCATAGTATTATGAAGTTTATGGTAGAATAAAATATCTTGTTGTATGATCTCAACAGGATCATTTTCATATTTCAAATTTTGAATACATAATTAAACATAATTACAAAAAGAAATTTTCGACAGAACGAGATAGAAACTTGATTATATTTATAGATGACTAGAAGATCAAATGCGAATGATTTTTATATTCAAATACAATCCATTTCAAATAAAGTTTCCAAATATCAATTATTACGACTTTTTGCAGTTGCTACAGAGAATATATATTTAAATGTATCTAGTTGATAGTAAAAATTATAGACGAAACTATTAAGTTGATCAAAAGTTATCCTGACATCAACGATCCAAAACAGGTCTCTCTGAAGTAAGTATTTTTTCTCCGAATTAAATGATGAAGAGTTTGGGTTAGTGTCAAAATGTTGACAACAATTGACGTTACCACTTAACACAATCTGATTTTTTGAAACTTCTATTATTACGTTTTGTCGCCAGATTTCTTCAAAAGCTCCAGAAAATTAAGGTATCCTATGAAAAAATAGGGCTCTGTTAACTTGTAGAGCGCAATTTTTGCTTCAATTTCAAATCCTCTCGAGGTTTTTAGTATGCGAAAACAAAAATATGTTAACTATATTGTCCATGTTACAAAGCTACATGGAAACTCAGAAAAGTCTACAAGGACTACCGTAAAGCTAGTGACGTATAATGCATTCAAAAGAATGTAAGATGAGCTATTTAACTATGTATGAAAGTCGAAAAGCATTAGTCTAGATAAAAATTGGAATTTTTTGAGTGAAGAGGAACCAGAAAATGTTGTGACCAACCAACAGCGGCTCATATAAGACCGAGTTTGTCTTTATTGCTGCAAAAAATGATGAAAATGAATGAATGAATGCATAAAAGCGTCAAAGCTAAATATTAGTTTATTATATGCATCGTTTTTTTTTTCATGATATCCATTTAAAAAAATAAAAGGAGAATAAATGTTTTGAGAATAAGCGAAAAGTACGAAGATACTAATTTCGTTATCATATCAGCACATATGTTTAATCTGATGTTGATATGATTATTTCTTGGCTAAAACACACAAAACATTTTTAAAACGATTTATCATCTAAAACATCTACTCTTTTCAACTTTTTTAAAGATAACCAATCAAAGAAAAAAAAGGATTTAAAGTGGTCGTCTTCTCAATTTTATTGGAAAGAAGATTCAGTTTTCAATTCAGGTTGGGAGAATCATTCAAATTTAATGTATGAGAAATAGTTATTGATTTGATCTCAAGTATAAAAAATGAATTCATTTTGTGTTTTTGAATGAAATAACATATTAAGATAAAAAACAACAAAATTTCAATATCGAGTGTAGAAATGGGAATTTTTCTTCCGAGAAAAATATCATCAGTTGTTAGGTCTTGTTGACTAATCATGTATCGATCAGACTTTGTCCTTTATAATAAAAAAAAACTATATATTATATGGAAATAATCTATCGATATAACAAATTATTCATATTGACGACGATTCCAATTAATGACGTAATCTTTTGTTACTTATAAGCATGATCGAAATGTCATAATGACATATATTCCTTTCATTTAGCATAAACGTTTAATATTCTGATAGTAAATGTCATCGAGAAAACAAACATATTCTTTAATGATACTTACTGCACCGAGAGAAATATTTGGTGTTCGTGTCACTATTTTGAACACATAACTTAACCAAGAAGAAATCACACCTTTACAAAAGAAAATAACAATCAAATTTATTAATTTAATCAATAAATAATCATACCACCAGAGAGAAAAACAGCTAAAAGACAAACAAAGCTTCTTGAATAGTTCTAAAATAATGAAATGCACTCACCAAAAAATTGTTCTTTTCCAAACATTTTTATAACTGGATCGCTAAACGACCATAAAACATACATATTACAAAAAAAATGTATTCCATTATAATGACTAAATGTTGATAATAACATTGAACTAAGATTTGCTAGTAGATAATCAACAGAGAAAAAAAAACTTTACTATTTTCTAAACTAAATTTAAACTTACGTTTATATGGACTTGATGTAAAATATTTTAATAAAAATGGTTCAAATCTTTTCACTCTCCATGCAAGAAAAACAATCAAGTTCAAACCAATTATCGTTCCAATCACTCGTTTCGACTCGGAAATATCACGCCAAATATTCTTCAACTAAAATAAATCCGTTTTTTTTAAATAAAATCATGTATTTATTTTTTTCCAAAATACTTGTGATGATATTTGTTGAGGTTTGTCTTTTAGTTGCCAACGTTCTTTTATTTTTCGTAATTTATTTCTATGAGATTCATATTGCCAAATAGCACATGCTACAAATGAACATCCTACAAACTTTGAAAAACTGAAAATAAATATTTAAAATGACAAGAAAATGTTTGTTAACATACACTAATCGTAAAAATTGTCGGTCGAATAAGAAGGCGACTTCTATGCGTTTCTGTTTGTAGTTCAACACGTAAAATATTCGATTCATCAAAATTTTTTATCGAACGACGTGATTTTGGTTGTAATGAATTACGTGAAATTTGTGTCCGAAACTGTTGAATTAATCGTAAATAAGGTAACGATGAACTTTTTGGTGATAATAATATCCATTGCGAATATCTTGTCCACATCATAAAATTCTTCTGAGCAAGAATAAAATAATGATGCAAGGCCAATAGAAACAAAATAAATAAATAAATAAATAATAAATAAAGCATAGCAAAGCATGAATGCATAGCTTATTTATTCCTTCGATTCGATGACTTAAATAACGAATTAAAGAGTTTATTGCAGATGCATTGATCTCGAGCGACATCTTTGCTCATAAGATCATTATCATACGTAAACTTTATTCAACATCTTTTAAGATATTTTAGATGATATTTACGATAAAATAATACCTTAGCATACAAGAGTCAATAAAAATTAAATATACCGAAGGTATTTCTCCTATTCTTTGACATAAACTAGTGATTATTATCAGATATTTTGACACACAAAAAAATCAGTAAATTATTTCTACAATTTATTTTATCATACAGATACTTTTTCATAGTTACTATCTTCAATAAAGGTTTTTTGTATTTTTTTGCTTAGAAACGCTCTTAAGAAATGAATACACTTTTGCTTTCATTACTTTATCTTCTTTCATTTTATTTTGTTGCGATGTTGTGCAAGATTATTTTCAGTATATATGTAGGATGACATTGAAATTCATAAACCTATCTAATTCAACGTAATGGAAAAGAATTAATATTGTCGTTTGAGTGAACAGATAATATATGTTCAATTGGTCATAATTTATTTTCTGTTTGAATAAATATTCGCTCAACAGGCTAGTCTTATAATCATGCTATCATAAAGAAGGTTATTAAACTTTTGTCATAATTCAAGTCTTCATACATGAAAAAGTGATAGAATGACTAATTTAAAACAAAACTTCTTCTGTATTCTGCATCGCTTATATCACGATGACGGGAAACAATATTATTCCTTGAAGAGATTTTGTTGATATATGTGAATCAAATCAATATTGTTTTAAACTGGTGTATGCATTTTATTGAATAAAGTTTAGAAACAATGCCAGTATGATAGTAACAAAAAGATTATTCATGGTTTTCCCGCTATTGTCAATGTGAAAGTCCTTTCACACTTTTGTTCCTTAACTAGCAGAGCAAAAGATTCTTTTATTTTAATTTCGTTTTTTCTGTCCTTATCAATTATATTATCTTTTTAAAAAAAGATCTCCTTTATAAATTCATTGGACTTTCGAAAGCATTAACAGCGTTATCAAGATTGCCTCTTTTATAGACATGACACAAGCTCATTTTCGGTCGTTTCTTTTTCATTCTTGTTACCACAACACAGTCCATGACGTCGAACAGGTATTCTGTTTTTACATTGCTACTAATTTTTTACATATATAAGAAGGATATTTTAATGAATGAAAAAGAAACTTTATCTAAAAATTTGATTGATATCTTAGATACCGAAAAAGTTCATCAATGAAAACATCTATTACTCCTGAGAAAGAGACTCCTTTTGAGCCACCAAAAGAAGTTCTTCGACGAAAACGACATTGCACTGGTTAGTAAATAAAACAAAGACTCTTATTAATGTAAAAAACACATGCATATTTTAGATATTCCATGTTGTATCTTATTTCTTATATTCATCATTTGTTTTATTGTCTTAAGTATTTTTGCTTTTAAAGAAGGTATTTATTTATTTATTTAAAATTTGTGATTAGTATTTCTATGGAATGAATAATAGGTGATCCAAGACAATTACTACATCCAACTGATAGTGAAGGGAATCTTTGTGGCTTGGGAAAATATGCGAATCATTCATATGTTTATTTTTTTGATTGGACACAATGTATAAAGTCATTTAATGTACCATCCAATATTTTAAAAGGTCGCCCATTTGTTTGTCCTACAACACAAGTTTGTGTTGAACGATGTCCGACTGAAACATCTTATTATAAATTTGAAAATTATCATGCGAATAGAGTTTGTAAATATGATGTAGCTCAAAGTGACAATGACCATGGAGAATTAGTTGCGACTGGAAGATGTGCATCATATATTATTGCTAGTAAACCATTGTTTGGTCGATGTGTTCCTCAACATATACAAAAGTTAGCTAATTCTATAATTCAGGTTAGGATCAAAGCTTCGATAAATGACCATGAAAAAATATCCTGCTTTAGGCACCAGATCGTAATCAGTCCAATATAACTGTATATGATTCAAGTGGACAACCATTAAATGGCTCGAAACTAGAACAGGTTTTTATTCTTGAAAAGATTATTTTCAAATGAAGCCTATCAAATGTATTTTTCTTTAGGGTGTCAAATATCTTGTTGACTTACTTAACTTAAAACAAATAGGTGCAATGCTTGTTGAAGACTTGACAACATCATGGAAATATATATTGATTGCTTTGGCCATTGCTGCAATCGTATCGGTATGAAAATAAACATGAAAAAAGTAAAAGAACTTGACATATTTTTTAGTTTTTATGGATTGTATTAATGCGTTGGTTAGCAAAACCAATTGTTTGGCTTGGTATAATACTTTTTATCGTTTTATTAGCTGTTATAAGTGGTTTATCATTTTTCGAATTTATTCAACTTCGTGAAAAAAATGATAATCAAATATTGACGGAATTTAAATTTGTTGCTGATGCAAATTATTATCGAAGTTTACCGATAACATGGTTAATTATTGCAATTCTATCGACTCTTCTTCTAGTCATATCAGCTCTGATTCTTCTTGTTTTATTTAAACGTCTTCGAATAGCTTTAGCTATTCTTCAAGAAGCATCAAAAGCTGTTTCATATAACTTTTTTAGTCTTTTTTGGCCATTTATACCATTTTTATTACATATTGGAGTATTTGCTTATTGGGCAACAGTGACAGTTTATTTAGCAACTGCTGGAAAGCCAATTTATCGAATAGCCATCAATGAGACAGCCACAAATTCAACGAATGTAACATATGGTGAAATATGTGATCCAAAGAAATGGAATAATATTGATGGAATGAATACTGAATGTGTCTTTTGGGAGTATGGATATGATCCACAGATTGATTTGGATAGCATTCTTAATGGTATGATAAATTTTACAATTATCAGAAGTTATCTGTTTTTTGTTGTTGTATATTAGGTACTGGTCAACATTTTAAATCCTTTATTAGCTTTGTCAATCAAAACCAATGGGTTCCACAATTATTTTCTACTTTTATGTTCTTTTGGTTAACAGCTTTTATTATTGGTTTTAGTGAAATAGTTCTCGGTAAGTTTATTTTATTTAATTTATTTTGAAAATAAAAATTTCAATAAAATACTAGCTGGTGTTTATGCACGTTATTATTGGGATAAAAAACGATTTGGTGTTCCATGTTTATCATTAGGTGAATCTTTATTGCGTGCATTTGTATTTCATCTTGGTACAATAGCATTTGGCTCATTAATCATAGCAATTGTTAAATTGATCCGTGTATTATTAGAGTATATTGAAAATAAAGTAAAAGAAAAAACAGGACGGATTGCTCGTTGTTTATTTTGTTGTTGTCGTTGTTGTTTATTCTGTTTGGAAAAATTCTTAAAATTTCTTAATCGAAATGCTTATATAATAACAGCAATATATGGAACAGGATTTTTTACATCAGCACGTCGTGCATTTCATATTATTATTTCAAATCCACTTCGTTTACTTGTTATTGATAAAGTATGTGATTTTCTTATATTTCTTGGTAGATTATGTATAACAGCTGGTATCGGTATTCTTGCTTTCTTCTTTTTTACTCATCGAATAGCACAAGCCGAAGAATATGTGCCAGAATTACATTATTATCTTGTACCATTATTGCTAATTATTATTGGTACTTATGTTATTACAACATGCTTTTTTTCAGTTTATTCAATGGCTGTTGATACATTATTGATTTGTGCATTAGAAGATATGAGAATGAAAAAAAAGAATCAAAATCATCATATGATGATGTCAAAAACCTTGAAAAAAGTATTTCGAGTTAAAAAAGAAAACTAAAGTTTTGTTTTATATGGAAATGCACTCGAGTACTATAATAGTCCTTTCAATTTTTTGCATGTGATGTTCATATTTAATTGACATTACATTTTTCTATATTTTTTATTTTATAATATTGTAATAAAATGTTTCTTTTTCGTCTATGTTTTTCGTTATCTTATTATTATATTGTGAATAACAAACAATTCATGGATACATCATTATTTCCTTTCCTATTGACTATCATATTGGTATCTTTCGCCTTTCATCGGATACATTCTTAACCAATTTTAAACCATGGTACATCATAAAATCTCTGATATGTACTAATAAGGTTTTCTGAAATATTTGTATGAAAATTATTCCCAATCGGAAATCAAGAACATTTTACAGCGTGAAGAAATAAGTGTAGCACGGTGCACTGTTTCTGATATCAAACTGAAGATTAATCATTATTGAAATTAAAATTCAATAGTAAAATGTCCCAGAAAAGATTATCACAAGCACCATCTACCATGAAGACCTACCGACTTTGGGCGTGATTGTAAAGTCTGTTCATAACAGAGCATCGAATGCTCGCATATCCTCAAAAAGGCTGAATTTTCTCTTTGGAATCAGAGATGAGCACAGGACAGGATGGTGTGGTCGTCCTGTCCTACATGGCAGGACGAACTTGTCTGTCCTGTCCTGTTCTGCCGCTCGGCAGGATAGGATAGGACAAATACGCTCGTCCTGGCTGCCACATTAGGTTTTTTATGGAATTTGACAAAAATAAATATCATAACTTAGTGTATGTGGTATCTATTGAAGTTGATAACGGGTGAGGCAGAATAAATGGCGATCTCAGTATTCCTTGAATATCTCGCTCAGCTTTGATCATGGAGAGCTGATGGTAGAGTTACAAGATGTTCTATAGAATTCTCTACAAGGAGTGTATCAAACATTGTTTCTACAAAGCTAAGCAGAAATATGAAAATAAGAATGCACAACACACTCTAAACAACCAACTTTGTAAACTGAAAAATTGTTTGTTAGGTTTTTTTCGTCAGCTGAATTTAAGAAGAAAACTTTAGCTCAACTTT